TTAAAATATATATATATATATATATTATTATACATTTATTAACATTATATATAATGTACAGTATTAGTAATGTACAGTATTAGTACTTTTTTAATGCTCCATTGACATACAATCCCCAAATTATTCTTAGTGGTTCCCAATTGTCACTAGTAGTTGCAATCTTGTAGAGAGTCATGATCTACATGTTGAGAATTACTAAATTAGCAAATAGCCCTTTTGAACCCTTATGCATTTGTACATGTATTTATGCAAAGTACTTGTGAAAGATGGAAAAAGGATAGATGTTCATTTACATATAGAAATCCATATAAAATATGGATTCATATAAATCCATAGAAACATTTAAAATAATTTAATTTCATTTGAGTTTACTTCAATATTAATTTAATATATATACATAGAAATGATATATCATTTTTTTTCATAAAATATTTTAGTTTCAGAATATTTCTTTTATTACTATAATTTCAATAAACTTTAGATATCTTGTTGGAATTATTTATTAAAATATTAATATATAATATAAAACGGCATCAAAAAAGTTCATTTTTAGAAGTATTTTCATGTAATGTATAATGAGGATTAAATATAATAAAGTGTTTCAATATATACTAATATTTATTAATATATGAATTATCTCTGTTATCCATCTCATATTTCTATATTGAATTCAATCAAATACTTAAAATTAGAAAGAACAAATAAAATCTAAATTCGAAAATCTATTTTAAAATGCTTCTCAAGAAACATGTTTCTTTTGTAGGTGAGAACTTTCATACTTTTCTGTATGAAGTATATTGTAAAAATTTATTTTTCGTTTATCGAGAAGTTTCATTTCTGATAAATAACCATAATTTTATTCAGATAATTTTTGAATAAATTATTTAAATTCAAAACCAAATTAGATTATTAGAAATAAAACAGTTTAAATTACTTATAAACATCAGAATTTTTTATTATTATTTTAATTTAAATTTTCAAATTAAATCTTCAAATCAATCAACTTAAAAACTTATGTAAAATTTATCTTGATAATATTTACACTTATATTCAATTACAAGTATTTTTATTCTTGTATTTTATTTTTCTTCTTACAAGTTTTTTATTATTTCATAATACAGTGGGTGGTCGGTTAACGAACAGATTGGTTAACAAACAAATCGGATAACGAACACTTTCGCAAAAGATTTTTATGATCGGACAACAAACACTTCACTGAACAAATACAAGAAGTGACGTAAAATAATGAATACCGATTGGTCTTCCTTTGTCTTCAGGCAACAATTCGAAACTTTTCGGAGCGCAGGAGACATCGACATCAACATTCTACCCAGTATATACTGATCGGATAGTATTCCCCCGAACTTTGAAACTCTCCCTTGTAATTCCAGCTTTTTATATTTCTGACAGAAACAATTCTTTTACATTTTCTTCTGAAAATGCAGATTTATGCCGATATCTGCTATTAAAGATCTTTTAAAGAAGTGGAAGGATGTCAGAACAACGGTCTTAAAATGGCATACAAACCAGGTTGAGGTTAATAGGCCTAGGGATCTCTACAATTACAATGCTATTAATTACTTCTGAAAAATCATAAAGAAGACATAAAAGCAATCGAAATTGGACAGATTCGTTAACCCTCACAAATGGAAAAAACATGACTAATAAAAATGCAAGACCGTGTATATATGTATTTTTATTATTACATATAAATAAACGTAGTAAGAAAGTATAGTCTATATTTTTTATTTTTTGGGGGTCTCCAGAACGAATTAATCAAATTCCCATAGAAACCTATGGTAAATCAATAATCGGTTAACGAACAAATTGGATAGTGAACAAAGTCTTGGAATGGATTATGTTCGTTAACCGATCACCCACTGTATATGATAATGTCAGATTAACTATTGGGCTAGAAGTTGGCCAATTAATTTCAGTGTATTCATGTAAATATAATGGCCAATTATGTAAAATATTGTTGAGAACAAATTCAGATATCAATATTAATCATAGATTCTAAAATCTGAGTTTTATACTAAAAATTCATAAGATAAATATATTTATTATATTTCAGATATTTTAAAGATTATACCTATATGGACTTTACTAAAGACCAATGTTACTGGTGTAACTCTGAAGAATATTCATTAATCCATTTAAAGGATTGCAATAGATTTGCAAAATACCATAAAAAATATTTTATATCATAGAAATAATACACATAAATCAAAATCAAGATTATAATAAAATTAAATTAAATAATCTAATGATAAATCAAATGTATAGAATGAATAACTTCATAATTATTTGATTAAAGAAGTTACATGATTAACAATATTTTATATCAATTATCTAGCTAAACAAAACAACATATTTAAATTTAAACAAAAATTTATATGAATTATTGTATACTTAATGTAATTTTATTTTATTCAAGAAAAATAATGTGAATTGGAATAATTGTTGACCAACTGTTGTAAATTTATAAATTACTCATGTAATAACCCCCTGTAACAAGGCTTGTTTTATCTTTAAAATTTTAGTACAAATAAAATATTTATAATTATATATTTTTTATATTAATACAAAGGATAATTTCTATCTATTTTTTTGCAATTGTTCATAAGTTGACATTTATATATCCTTTTTTAATATGTAATATTATGTTTGCCACAACTGTGCTTCTTAGACTAATATTTAATTAAAAATTTCATGAATATCCTGTTTGGTTATATTGTATTTTTTTTTATAAAGCAGGAAATTAGAACATAGATAGCTATATGACCTTTTAATATGATTTGTTAGAATACATATAAGTAATAAAGTACCATATTATATCAGCTTGGTATTTTGTATATATAAAAATGATACAATAATTAAAGTTTTTATCAATATGCTAAGAAAAAGTTTTTGAAAACTATTATTTTAATGTTACGTAAGGAAACATAAAATACCTAAATACTTGGTCTATCAGAAAATATCCTTTAATGTCAATGTATGATTTTAACTGATTAGTAAATAATTAAATCAAAATCAAAAAATCATTATGAAAAGAAAACTTTATCTTAAAGACTAGAAAAAATTTTAAAATTTGAGAAAACAGTAAACATTATTTGTTTTTGATGATAATTATTTTTTATAAGATGTTGAAATATACACAATACTATGTATGGATAAAAATCTATCATCATAAGAAAAGATGAATAAATTCAAACAAGAATGGTAAAGCAGCAAGTAGGAAGATTTTAAATAATAATATGTTCTAAAATTTATTTAAAATCAAAGATTCTCATTGTTGTGATTACATAACGATTCCAACAATACTTGATTACACAGAAGTGTATCAATTAGATAATATATAATTCTGATCATGTAGGAAATTAAAGTTTTATATTCACTATTTTTCCTTCAGAAGAATTTGATTTTTGTTTTAATTTAGTATTGCATTTTAATATTGTATATTTCAAATTCAAATTAATATTGCTGTTGTTTGAATTTAAAACAGCTTCATTAGATTAATACAATATAATAAATTAAAAACCAATTACCAAACAATTAATACTGTATACACATAATGTAAATAATATGTCAAGTGATCATAATTAAAGTACCCCTATTCAATGCTTCAGTCATCTCAGAATATTGTAGTAGAATTCGTGTTGACTGTCCTGCCCCCAGAGATAAATTCACACTGTACAATCCCACAAATGTAAAAAAAAAAAAAAACGATCATCATGCTCTTGGTCATGGCTCCTGACCTGCTTTGTCTTCTTTGATCATGAAGATGTTGGGCTCTTTCACTGTGAAGACTGTTGTTTAGTCTCTGGGTCATAATCTTAGGCCCATGTCTCATCCCCAGTGGTGATCGTCGACAAGAAGTTTGAGTCATCCATGACCAGCTGACAAAGATCCTCACACACTTTGACACCATGTGCCTTCTGTTCTGGTGTCAGAAGCCTGGGCACAAACTTTGCAGAGATGCAGTGCATATTTAAATCCATCATCAGGATTGCCTGGACTGTCCTGTACAACACATTGACAATGGCAGCAATGTCCACAATGGTTCTTCAACAATCCTCATGCACAAGTTACCTAATTTTTTTGAATTTTTGGGGGTTGTGCTCATGGATGATTGACCTGACCTGTCATTATCTTTTTGTGATATTCTGCCATCCTTGAAATGTGCATGCCACTCAACACATCTTGTTCTACCCATTGCACCATCCCCATAAACTTTCTGAATCATTTCAAAGGTCTTCCAGTTTTGCCAAGTTTAACACAAAATTTGATGTTAGCTCTCTGCTCAATTTTGGCATCCATGCTGAAATCGCAAATGGACCTTCACATGGGGTCAGTGACCCCATGTGCAGGTCCATCTGCAATTCCCAATGGTCAGTATTCCCCACAGCTGCCAACACATCCCCATTCTGCACTCTGTTATCATGCTACAGGACCAGTCCCAGAACTTTTTAATACCACCTCATATAATTTTTATGTTATTGAGGTCATGTTGAAAATTTAGTAGCCTTAAAAAACAGCATTACATTGTATGCAAGAAGAATCACAGAGGATCAATTATGGTTGGCCATTGATCATATAATTCATCATTTTTAGGTTTTTGCACCTTCAAAATGGAGACCATATTGAGCAGTATTGCCTGCATCACTAAGGTCTGTGTTTAGCTTTTCTTATGCAAATAAAATGTTTGTTGCTTATATTACCAAAACTGCCATAGTGATGAATTTTAGTACTAACTTTTTTTACAGAAATGTCTACTTCAGTCCTAAAATATCATCAGCTTCATCATACTAAATTTGCTTGCATAGACAGTACTGTATAGACTTTAATTATGTTAATACACACATGTATACAGTACTTTAATAATAATATAACTATTTTCATAATTTAAAGTTTTTATGTTATTATTTATGTTTATAATATATTTATTAAAATCTAAAAAGGTAAATTTATGAAATAAAGTAATAAAGCCAACATCTTACATTTATAACTTGAAACTTTTCTTTTGGAAGCCTGAAATATTTAATTTTTATATTTAATATTTTGTGAATATCAATTTCTCTGTAAGTTAAAAATATTAAAGTAATAAATAATTATTTTAAAATTAATTAAATTTATTGCGTATTATTATTTACTTATACGGGATTTAATTAAATTTTAAACTGATTCAATTTTAAAATTATATCAACAAAATTGAATTATCTCAAATATTTTTCAGAATTCTTTTTAACGTGTAAGACATTAAAAAATAATAGTTCATTTAATATAAAATCCAATTATTATTAATGAATTTTTAATAACAAAAATGTTTGTATTTTTTTTTTTCATTTTTAAATTAATTAAAATTGATTTTTTTAAATTACATTAAAAGATATTTTAATTATAAAATATTTTAATATTTATTGTCCTTAACTGAATAAATATGATGTAAACTTGAAATATAAATAAAAAATATATCTTCATCTACTGTATATATTTTGAAATAGAAAACAAAAAATATTACTAAGAAAAATATTTCATAACAATTTAGAAATTGTTTTGAAATGAATAAAAACTTTAAAATTAATGAAAAAATTTAATTAAACTGTATTAATTTTTTTAATATATTAAAAAATTCTTATCTTATTATCCAAGAATCAATATTTTAAACTTTAAACAGTGCTATTTTAGAAATTTATTTAACAAAACAGTCATAAATTTCATTTATTTTAGCAAACTTGGCTTTAGAATTTTTTTAACAAACATTTATAAATTTTGATTATTTTTGCTATTGATATTGTATTGAAATTTTCATTTATATTAACTGATATAATAGTAAATATAATTAATTTATAAATTCACTTATATAAATTATGGTTTATAAACTTAAAACTCTAAAAAATTAGAATGTTAAAACTAATAAGGCAAAGTACAGCACCTAATAAAATTAAATCTGTAATATTTTAAATAAAAGAAAACTGAAGATTTTCGGGCAATATTTAATTTATAAAGCATTTATATCTTACTTGATAACATGTATTTAAATAAATATCAGAAACTGTAATTAATATTGCCAAAAGTTTTTATTTTTAATAAATTTCTTAAAATGTTTAAGCAATTTTGGCAATAAACTGAATATAATTAATGAAAATAAAAACATCAAAAGCATAAATATTTTTAATAGCAAAAATTTCTTAAGATTCTCTATTAACAAAATTGTTATCAACTTATTACAATTCTTTTGGTTTATAATTTAGTGTTGCATTGTTAAAATATGCATATAAACATTTTCTATATTGATAATTATACAAATGATAAATATATAAAAATACAGGCAATTGTTATTAAGTATATTGAGAATTTAATCAATAACTGTGATTTTTATTCATAAGTGTAATATTAAAAAAGTGATATTTTTTCATTTTATTCTACTATTATAACTATTTTATAAAAATTAATATTTATAAAAATATGATATATTTTTAATACTTATTTTAACTTACCTGTGAACACTTTTATCATAAAAAATTTTTATTCTTAATGGTTGAGTTATACTTCTTTTACGCACAATATGAACTGGTTCTAGATGAACATGTTGAATCTATAAAATAATTATTTTTGAAATATATAATTACCATAAAAATTATTAGACAATTTAATTATATTGAACCAACTTAAAAAATTCCTAACTGGATTAGCCAAATTACATCTTGTTTGGAATTTTTATTAGTTCATTGACCTTAGATTCAAAAAATCAAATGTGTTCATGATTTAAGCAAACAAAATTCTGACTTCTATTGTATTTCATGATATATAACAATTTTAATAATTTATTTATATATGCTACTAATACAGTATATATTAAACAGTTCTTTTAAATTTTGTAAAATCTTTATCCTTTTATAGTATTACATTGATAAGCTTCATAATTTGAATAATATTTATATTTTTCAGAAAATAAATGTAAAATGTAATGATTGTTTAGCATTCAATCTTAATATTTTTTTCATTAAAATTTAAAAATATTTATTAAGACATGCATTATTGGTTTTATTGGCTATATCTTTACTTACATTTGAATTGGATTACTTGTATTTTGAATTAATTAAATTACAAAATTCTTTAAAATAATTTTAAAAATTTCTAATGTCAGTTGAAAAAAATCAATATATTAAATAGTTGAAATAATATAAATATTACTGTTTTAAATACATTAATATAGATAAAAGCCTAGTGTCATGTATGACACTTCATTGTGTTGAATAAATAAATAAGACAGACAGACATGGTTCATATATAAGAAGCTTAACTGATACTTAAGCATTGCTTTATATTTGAAAAATATTTTAACATATAAATAACTACTAATAATTTTATAAAATGTTTTAATTAAAAAAGTTATTTTCTATTACTATCTTTAGAATATCACATATTAAAAAATTATCTGTAATTAATATAAAATCTAATATTTATAAATTTAAACTTAAATTTTCATGAACTTGCATAAGGTTTATTGGTCTTTTTTTTATGACCTATGATAAAATTCTCACCTATAGGTAATTGAAATATTTATTTTTATATTATAAAACAGAATTAAATTATATTTTAAACTTCAAATTTATAGTTTACATTGAGAACTATCTGAGAACAAAAATATTTGAAAATTTATATTTTCTTATAGTAAATAATTGCTTGTTTAAATATATTTTTTCAGGTATTTTAGATTTAGGATATATTCTGAAATTCTTTTGAAAATGTTCTAAGGATTTCAAGGATAAATAAAATTAAAACACATACACTATAATAAATGAAAGAATTATTAAAATTGTGTCTTTATAATGAACTACTTAACTTGATAACAAAATATTTTTTACAATTGTTTTACATAAAAATTTTAGGTTTTTGGATTTTTCTATTTGTTGTATTTTAAGATGATTTTAAACATTCAGTAAATACTTAACTACTTTTAAGTTGTCCATTTCTTTCATTCAATGCATATTGCAATGCATATTGAATTAGTTTTAACATAATGTTACCTCTATCTTTTAAGAAGTTAATTTAAAATATCTTCTAAAGCAGAAGGATAAAATTATTTTGATAAATGTGTTAATAAAGCAACATGGATGCATTTATTATTATTTCTGTATCTCTTTAATGCATAATTTTAAAATAAGCTGTAGTTTGTAATTTTAAAATAAGCTGATGTAGTTTAATGATTAAAGAAATGTAAAAATATTTAATTTGAATAAAGTAATCTTGTTTTTTTACAAAAAATTTTCTAACTTAAATCTTTCTTTTAATGTTGCATTACAATTCTTCAAATAAATATTTAGTATGTTTCTATTTTTTATATAAAATTTTTTAAAATTTGTCATATTCTATTATGTAAATAATATTTTAATTCAACTGGATAACACAGCTTATTTCAAAAAAGACAAAAATTATTATTAACTTAAAATTAAAATCATTCTAAACTGCAATTTGACAGATACTAAAAGTATATAAATTTCAATTAAAGGAAATTTATATATTTTTAACCTATATACATATTTGGATAGACTTAAAACATTTCAAAAAAGACACTTTATTATAATTAACTTTGGAAATTTTGTTGATTTAAATAGCAAAATTCACACAACAGTGATGTATTAAATACAGTTTTATTATTTACTAATGTTTTATTAAGTAATATTCAAACAAAATTTTTACTTTTCTTCAGAACATCCAAAACAAAAGAAAAAATCCCAAAGCAGTTAAAAAAATAAGTCATTAAAGGACTTATTTTTCTTCTGCTTTAAACATTGAATGATCTAACAATACAAATTCTATTTAAATACATAATAGACAGAATTACTGTATATAAAAGATTACTTATTTTTGCCTAAAATCTTAAGTAATTTTGATTGAGTCGAATGAAATCAGAAATTGAGTGACAGAAATTTAGAACAGTGTTTTGAAATTCTAATATGAGTAGACCTAATACTAGTAATATGAAAAAAGATTTTTATAATAAATTGGGAAAAAATCTAAAAATTGTTACAGGATTCTAAGTTTACATAAAACAACTTTCATAATTTTAATAAACTTACAACATATCTGGGTTCTTTTTTAATGAGATTTAATTTGTTTACAAATTATATGGGTTGAGAACTCAATTGTAATAAAAATTGTTATTAATATTAAGGATGATAAGATATTAATTGTTTCAAAATAATGAAATTTATAATAAGTATGCATTATATACAGTATAGAGGGTGTAATGAAATATTTTAGAGATAGACTCTAAGGTAAAAATAAGCTTAAAATCCTTTATAAATGTTTTTCAAATTCCACACTGATTTTGCCAAAAAAAATCAAATCAGAAACTAATTTTAAACCTCCCACCAAGATGATACAGAAGTGAAAAACAAATAACTGTGTTACCAATGCACACAAAGTGAAGCTTTATTTTTAATGTTGAAAATTATTTTTTGTATACATGGAAATTGAACTGTCAAAATGTCCTCTGCATCCACGGAGAATATTCTGAGCAGTTCTTTTAAGTTATTCTGTTTAATTTTATAAAAAGACAAAATATTATTCAAAGTAAATTTACATTGAAAAACTCTTGCTTTACAACAATACTTTTTTTACTGTAAAGCAAATGGATAATGCAAGATCTTAAAGTGGCTAGGTTTTGTGTACACTTATTACAGTAGAGCCTACTTGGGCAACATTTAGTTACCTCAATCTGTTGACAGAAGCATAAAAAAATACAAACTTACTTTAAAGATTTGACAACTGTAGTGTTAGTACTTTGGCACAGAATTTGAAAAGTTTAGCAGGTCAATCTCAAAAATGAAGCAGATTTTGAAATAAATTTATATTTTATATTTAAATTTATATTTTAAGCTTAATTTTTGAATTTATCCCTGAAATATTGGCATAGTTTCATTACATCCTGTTTATACTACCATATGTTCTTTACACACACACATACATATATATATATATATATATATATTTAGTGTGTTNATATATATATACTGTATGTATATACTGTATATATACATATATACTGTATATATATATGTATATGTATACATACATACATACATACATACATAAAAAGCAATTATTTTAAAAACAATATTTTAGTATAACTTGCATAAATATGCAATTTTGAAAGAAATTTAAAATTACTAAAAGTTTTGAAAAAAACATTTATTAATTGAAAACTTGTTTAATGGAATATGTAACAAACATATTACATTTATATTTAATTTATATGATAATGCTTTTTAAACAGTTGTATTTTTGTATTTAAATTATCATAATAATAGTATAATAATAATAAATTTTGTCTTTCATAATATAATTTTAAAATTCTATTATGAAATAAAATATTAAATAGGTATACAACAAAAGAAAAAAAAATCAAACAAATATATATCACTGCAGTAGAGATTTTTATTATTAAAGCAATAAATTTAGGTTATTATTATTTTATAAATCTTTCTTTTAAAATTTATTGTTGATGACAAATAAAAATATATCTTAGTCTTTTTAATATAATTATATAAAACCAAGAATACTATAAAACCTAATAACTGTACTATAAATTATCTTAACTAAAGATATTACACCACAACAAACGTAAATTGAAATCTATTACCAAATTTCTAAGTTCAATTTTTTAATTACATTTTTATAATTTAATAAACTTGAGCCATTCTTACTACTACTGCACTAACTTAGTTATCAAAAGAATCTAAAGAAAATCTTTTGAAAATAACCTTTTAAATTGTTAACTGATTCAGCTAGAAGATTTAAAAAATTGATCATTGTAAAGCTTATACATTTTGCCAGTTTGGTAACTAATAAATAAATTTATATCAAAGACATATATGATCAAAATTATTAAATATATCCACTTCAAATATAAAGTCAACATGTACTGAAAAAACTAAAATATTGTAACTTTAGTTATATATGAAAAAAATAATATACAATCAAACAAATGAAATATGATAAAAATGATTGGCTGAAAACTTGAAAACTACTGAAATTAGATTTAAAAAAATAAATCCAATAAATTTGATATATCCAACAATTTAACTATTCCAATATAGGATAACTGTCATCTTGTAAAAAAACTGTAACAGGTATTTGAGAAAAAAAAATTCCAGATAAAACCTGTCTGCTGTAATATTTAAATGATGCAGTCTTTCACAGATTGTACAAGCTTTTTACATTGGAACGCATAGTCATGATATTCTGAAAATAAATCGATCGTTGATAGGAAAAAACAGAGAAGAGAAGTAAAAAAATTGGTAAATGACAAAAGAAAACGATTTGTCGCTTCAGCAGAACTGAAAGTGACGTCGACGACGTTCATTAATCACCATTGTTTGTTGCTCCCTTATAAAAGACGGTGATTGGTTTGGTGTGAGATTCGATTAAACGAATTTTATTTCTGTAGTTGTGGAGGAAAAAGTCGAAGTTCACTGGATGTAGCCACTATCTCATCGGTAAAAAGTAACATGGTTCAAAATCCAAGTACAATATGACAGCAGATAAATTTATAATGAAACGCTATAGGCTATATTATAACTTATCGGCATTATTTAAGACAACGTAATTTTTAAGTCAATTTACTTTCATTGACTTTTGAATAATATTTAAACTTTAAAATTTTTAATTATATTATAAACACGATTTTATGTAAAGACGGATTCAAGAACAAATCTTAGAGAGGGCGATTTTTAATTATTTTAATATAAACAATATAAAAGTTTTATCGCTTTCATAAAAATGGAAAAATGTAAATCAAAAGTAATTATGAAAATATTAAAATATAAACATAATTTTAAAGAAATAATGAAACCTCTATTAGCAATAAAAAATCGGAGGGCTTTTGCCCCATCGCCCTCATAAGAAAAATCTGTCCTCCAGTAGGTGATTTCGGCTTAGCGAAATTGAATTTTTGATTTTATCAACGATAAGAAATTTAAAATTTATATTTTAAATATAACAGACGTTAAAATGTTTTCAAAGTTTTTCTAATTTCGATTTAACATTCGAAATTACATTTGCAGATATATAAATATAATTAAAAATGCATTAATGGATTTACACAATTATTATTGTGATTTACATCTTTTACAACTTTGAAACTTACTTTTATATATTTTAACATTCTGTTTGTAATGTGCCGTCTGTGTTTGGTTTAATTTAAAGACGTGTAAGACCACAAATCAATATTAGCATAAAATGTTTCCAATCTTTTTTTTTTTTTTGATAGAGCAACGCGGAAGAAATGGGACTCTGTTGCTTCACATTATCCCTCCATTTCCATTTTATCCGGCAGATATCACATCGTATTACATATTATCAGAATCATTTATATTTTCCTAACTAAATTAATGATTTAGTTTAATACGGTTCGAACGAATTCATTTCCTGTCGTCCACAGTAAATCATACTAGACGACTTTTATCGTTTAGAAAGAGCAGGTAAATGGAATGGGAATGGAGAATTACAAATTGATTTTAGATAAGTTCAATGGTCAACTACAAATTGTCTTATCACAAACACCTCGCTTAATCAATGGACGTGACAGAAAGCCAACAGTGATGTTGCAAATGAGAAACAGATGGCGGCAATGATGGACGAACTGCATCTTGAACAAAGTCACTTTCATGCAATGGAGCGATATCGAAACATCGTCAAACTAATTACTGTTAATGAAAATCATTCATTAAAACAATTTTCCTATATATTTATATATTCTTTTTTTCCCTCCTCTATGTCTGCTCGATTCCCCCACTTTCGACTTTTCCAGACAACAAGCATCTTTCACTTAACGTTAATTGCTTTTGCATGTTCCTCCTTCTGTTGCGTACAATAGCTGATATGTGACATAGAACTTCATCACACGTTTCTTTCAACACCGTAATTATTCTGCCCAATAATTTTAGACATTCCTTTAGCAACTTTTTAGCAGAATTTATTCTGATCGAATAAATTAATTTACGACATTTATAATTTAAACAGACTTTAAACTGTTCTAAAGGAAGTATTCTGAATGGAGTCGTTTCCTAAACAAACTACCTTATAGAAAATGCGTAAATGCAGCTGTATTGTGCAACTATCCGTCGCCAAGCAACGTGAATAGAAAAGTCGCTCTTTCTGTCTACAGATAGTGATATATATTCATGTTTGAATATTCATTCCTGCAATCCAGTAAACGGAGTAAAGGAAGAACTTTGAAACTTAGATTTGGTGAAAGATAAAAACCACAATTAGGTGTGCTTGTAATGATTCTGACAGATCAATCGCGTCTTTCCCAAAATCTGCAGTCCAAAATCACGTCATTCGTTCACGCAACTAAATCACGCTATTCGTGAAGAGAAAACGCATCCGTGACGTCATTCACCTTTAGACTATTCTACAGTTTTCCACTCGGATGCTATTTTTAGTCGACAGATTGACCTGGATAGATTTGATCCCTCAATAACCCATGGAGTGTCTTCCAAAACATTTATCAACTGAAAACCAGATATAACGACAGTTCTATATCACAGAAAACTTATTCTGAGCCAAAGCAGCCAAGCATAAGAGAATTCCATTTTCAACGACAGAGGAAAATGGATCGGTGTGTGTTTGCACAGACGGAAATCCACTTGAATACCGGACGTTCCTAGTTCAACATTCTGATCTGAAATACATACGAGGTATATAGTAGTTCAATAGTCGACTATACAATTATAAAATTAGCTCTTAAGGTGTAAGTTACAGAGTAGTTTATTCTTTTGAGCACGTTATTATTAAACATGTAACAAAAAAGAGAATTTACGTAAGTCACGCGTGATAAAATGTAAAACAATAATAATAAAATAGCATTAACTTCTCTTCTCGTACTTCAAGGTTTCGTCCCGTAAACCACTAAAACCATAAAATATTATTTATGGTATGTTTCATAGCATAGCATGTTAAAACACAATCACTAAAAATTTTTATATTATATGAATTTGTTGATTTTTTTCGGAAAATATCGCATTAATTGTTGGGAAAGCAATTTACATTCTCTACATACTTTAAATTATTATTATCGTATTAATGAGTGTATCATTTAATGGAATTCTGCCGTAATGGTTGGAATTTGATTTAATTTTAGAAAGTGTAATGAAGTTCGCTAGTGTCTTCTTTGAAAAATACCGATTAATAAAACATTCTAAAATTTTCAATTTATTCATATTCACTAAACGCATTAAAGTATGCGTGAATTTCCCTTGCGTTTGCTATGCAATGATATATGTTCTCCTACAAAACTATTTTTCATTACGGACTAAGTTTGGAGTTTAAGTAGTTATTCTGAGGTGAATTAATCCACGGTGGAGTAACTTCATCATTTAAGTAAAATTATATACATTTTATGTATAAAAGTGTTTTTGAAAGAAGCTAAAATTGTTTTCTAGCATTTTGCAAAGTTTTAAGTGCTTTCAATTTTCCAATCTTGTATTTTCGTTTATAAAAATATTTATTATTATCATAAATTTAAATATCAATAAAAATTATCGTTCTGATAAGCAAATAT